CCCCCTTTATCCCTATCGGTGTCGCTCTCTCTCCCCTCTCTCTCTCTCTCTCTCTCTCTGAGACATACTTTCCCGGACAGTACGTCGCCACGACATTGAACGTATCGAACCATACAGGGCTTGAAACTAACGCTCGCCCGCTCGCCCGAGGCTAGTAGAAATCAGTAAGGGCTAGTAGAATGTCTGGTCTGACCAGCCCTGTTGGCGAGTGGGTATGCCTACCAGATAACATATTACTAGTACTTTTTCAGCAACTACTAACCCGACCGAAATAGTCATAAGTAATATAAAATTTGCGTGTGCAAACATAATAAAATTGCAAAACCTAAACTTTAAACAGTCACAGTTCCTCACACAATAAAATCGGTCCAACCACCATGCTGCTCTATTCACAAGCTCATGACAATCCCTTCACAGTGTATATACGCAAGACGTTTATGTTCTACTTTCTGTTTACGTTCGTGGAACCGTTAGTTAACTTAGTTTACGTTTCAGCTGACCTCAGGGTTAAACACTACAATCCCTCGATCTCTTTTCAAACGAAGATTATTTCAATTTGACGGATGCTAAATATCAAATTAGAAACTCAAATTTACTTATACGGAGTTCGAATCACCCTGGTTAATTAAACCGACCAGGCTCTCCGACTAGTTACACGGCGCCACGTAGCCATAAGTAATAAAGTAAAGTAAATAAAGTAAAGGCCTCCTCTCGCCACGTAGTGTTAAGCGAGATGGGAACTTGTGGCTACCTGGTTAATATACAATCCAGTCTCTGTGTCTATAATTAACGTCGAATAGTAGTCATGGTTTTGTCAGGTACTCTTATGAAAATAACCTCTTTAAACCTACATTCCTGTAATTGGTATTCTAAGCTTTTTATCATACGATGTTCATCCTAACACTAGCATAACACGCTTCTATGTGGCTTAAATTATATTCAGTGAACTAAGCAATACAATTATACAAATCTCAAACTAACACAAACAGGATAACTCTACTTATAATTATATACTGTACTTATACTAACTACTAACAAACTCTGTACTTGCAGTAGAGAATTACTAGAGTAGTAGAGATAGTCACAAACGGTTCAAATTAAACTTGAACTTTCATATTTCCGTAGACTGACTAATAGTTACTATAAGGAATTATTCTGCTCTTATAACATAGTACTGATGTATTTGTATATATGTAAGTATATATATATATGTATATATATCAAGAGCTAT